AGAGAACAGTCTCAGACTATACGCTTCTCAGGTCAAGGACGAACAATACCGACGCTCCACGCTTGAAGTAAAGGACGAACAGATACGACTCTCACTCGACGCTTGAGGTCAAGGACTCAGAGCCTGTTTACATGGAAGTTGGGGACCCCAGGTAGGTGAGGTAACCCGCCTAGCCGTGGTCGAAAAAAAAATAAAACGCGTTTACATACAGTCTTACGACCCCGGGGTGCTGGGGTGAGGTTTCTTGAGGTTGTTGTTACGCTTGCAATTAGGGAGTTTGAGCATGGGCGTCCCAAGCTCACTTCTCGAGAAAGACGAAAGATTAATTCTTCGACGCGTATGTATTTATCCATAACACCACATAACACAACGCGTGACGCTTTCAGGTTACGCGAGGACTATTGACTTAATACGTTATACGAAATAGTTTGAAAGGAATCTGGTCGATTTACAACGCTAAATATTCAGAAATGTGAACATTTTACACTACTTGCGTGTCCGTTGTGGTTTCTGCCGATTTCTGCCATGAGACGGCTAGGAAATGTACAAAGTTTTAAAACATACGTGTTTCGCTTTTGAGCTTTTTGCCATGAACGCGACCCCGGGTAGGCGAGTTACCTCACCTTGAGACGTTGACATGGCAAATTGTCACCCCGGCTAATAGGGTTAGGCGGGTCACCCCACTTATCATGTAAACGTGATCAAGAAAAAATAAGAAATTACATGGACAGGCGGGTTACCTCACCTACCTGAGGTCCCCACCTCCATATAAACAGGCCCTAACAGACGAACACCACTCTCGCTACTCGCTTGAGGCGGAATGCGGCCGGGAAATGGCATCAAACGCATCCAACGCATCCAACGCGACACGAACGGAAACGTCGAATCCAGATTGACACGCTTGATTTGGATTGGTCGGTGCTGCTGCTATGCGTGAGCGGCTATTTTTTTGTGGTGGGGGGAAGGATATCTTCGCTCACCTCGCTCATCCCCCCACGGGCTGGATTGAAGACTGTAAGGATTCGTGACAAAGAATCTGCACAGTTCGCTCGGAACCTCGTTCAAACCCCAAAGAACTTGTTTTCTCCCGTCGAGATGATGCGCCTCGTGGAAATATTAGGTAATTTCTTTTTTAATTTGTTCCCTTTTAAGACTTATATTGTTATTCCATCCTACATTGTGATAATTTTTAGCTAGAACTATTTCGTGACTGAGGTGTTAGAATTTGACTTTTCGCACGATTACAACTTACTTATCCACAGCTAGGTAAAATTTCCGCACAGCTTCATACTATTGTAAAACAAATCTGTTTTCCCGATGGCAATGTATTGTTTTTGTCACTGTTTTCTCTATCCAAAAACTGAATGCATAATGTAGGATGGGCTGTGCGGAAACTTTATCTCATTATTTTACGTAAGCTGCATTTTTAGATCTTCATTAGAAAGGCTAGAAAATTTGAATTTTGATATAGAAGCCATCGTTCATCCGCACGTAACATGAAAAAACAGAACAGCACCATTTTAGTACACAGATTAGGCGGTATCCGGTCGTTCCGCCCGAGAGTTAAACCGCCCGAGACCTTTCCCGGCCCAAACTTCGAAGTCATTGTGCCCGATGCATATGTCGTCTTATCTATGGGTTGTGTAGAGTTCTTTAAAATGGTATCTTAAATAAAACTAGTGTGTTATGAGTTTTTGTAACGAAATACAACATAAATGGTTTAATATTTTTTTCTGAGTTGTATACTGACTCGGCGGTAAAATTCGTCTCGGCTACGTTCCGTTCACTGTTTGCATGACTGCCATAAAAAGCATTACTTAAACAAATTTGGTATCCCATTTTCAAGCCCGTAGAATCATTTCGTTTCCGTGGTGGTAGCATTTTCAGTGAAATATCTTACAAAACCAGACATTTTATTCAACTGACACCACAACTGACTTTTTTCCTCAAAAATTTGGCCTCGATGTGTCTATTACGTAACAATGATTATTCAACTAACATCACAACTGACTTTTTTCCTCAAAACTTTGGCCTCGATGTGTCTATTACGTAACAATGATTTCGCTTTTGATCGCTGACGTTCCGAAAAAGTTAGATATTTCAGCGGTTGAATGAGCAGTTGTTTTGGTAATACGGTCAACAAATATCTACAAACATTTACTAAAAGAAATTTTAAAAATGGAATAACAGCTTAATCTTTGTATTTAATGCATTGTTTATTCGTCGGGCAGATCGAAGTCCATTCTCGGGCGGATCGACTTCGGGCGGATTGTCTCTTGGTAGTACTTTTTCAGTTCATTTTCCTATACTACTTTCACCTGATTGATTAATTATTCCTAAGTTGCTATTTACTAATTTGCAGAATGTCAGTGTTATTTTATCATAAGACAGCCGACTCTTCAATGGCACCTGTTGTAATACGTTACATATCAATCTTTCTTAGCACAGCGTTTTGGAAATCATTTACCAATGCTGCTTGAGACTGTTCCCAAATCTCATTCTTGACAGCTCTACTATCAATTACTATAACTATTTGATTTCCTACTAAAGTCAAACCTGTATTAGCAGTCATCCCTAGGGTATGGCATGGTGATCACTTCATGCAGGTTGACCATTTAATACGGGTTGACCATTTAATACAGGTTCTACAGAATAAGGGTATGGTAAAAAAAATGCCATTTTATGCCATATGTGAACATTTAATGTACGAAATTCACCAACAAATACTATTGGTGTTGATTTCTGGGGATAAACATGGACAAAATATACTTGAAAACTTGTTTTTAGTTTCATTTGAGTGGTTCTGGTTTTAGAGTTAAGGGTGGTTATATGACTGCTTAATAAAGGTAATGTTTAACCCTTCAACTCCAAAGATATCATTAGTAATTCTCCTTATTGTCTGCCATACAATTCTTATGATGTCAATTTGGAAAATCTGATATTGGATCAACTACTAATGCCCTAATTCATATTTTACCTCATTCTTATCACTTCTATGCTTGATATTGTATAGATATTGTAAGGAGAAATTCTCTGAGTCACTCATGGGAGGTAAAGGGTTTTAGAGGTGAAAATTAAGGTGTTTGAGGAGAAAGAATTTTGGGACTTTAACTATTGACCACTTAATACAGGGTGACTGCTTAATACAGTGCTGCTTTATTCCAGTTTGACTGTGCGGTGTAGTATTTACATGTATACCACTATCTAGTTGATAACCTGTCTCGTTGATAACCCCAGTATATGACCAACTCCATTTTAAACCTTTTGTGCATAAACAAAATAATAATCAAGTTATTTCCTTATTTTGCAAATAAATTTTATTGACCATCCCATTATCATGACTCAACTTTGTTGGGAACAAGGTAGAATTTCCTTGGCAACAAGGGCTGTATGATCAGAGTTCTGATGTTTGTTGGTTTTTTATCTAAAAGTATTGAGAGTTGAGAGTTAGCTATGCCCTTGTGTCCATGCTTCTCAGTCCAACTCTGTAATCAAATGAGTCTTCTTTAAAATAGATTTTAAAAAAAACACTCAGTCTGGTAAATGGGTACAAACCAAACAAAAAGTTGATTGCATTTAATATGTTCATACAGTGTTTGTTCTATCGTCTTATAGTCAATCTAATTGCAGAGTTGTTCTCTAGTTGCTGCTGATTAAAAATTCATTTCTATTTCATACCTATTCAGGTCTGTTTTTGTTATCATGGGCAGCAATTGAGACTACATTTGCACAAAATACTAGTAAGTGACATTAATTAAATTCATTTGATTGTTGCATCTTATAATAGAGGTGTGATTAATAAGTGGAACTCTGGTTTCAGCACAAAAGGATAAATATCAGTCAGTGATTAAAGGGGGTAAGTTTCTAAAGAAACTGTGGTGCTGGGTCGGTGGGAGAGTATAACATGGTATCGTCTGAGCTGATAACATAAATTGTCCAGTGTAAAGAGTTTAAAAGCTGACATTTTGAGTGTTACCCGTTCCTCAAAGGGAAGGGCTAATGCCCTGATGGAGGGCTCATGCTCGAAACATCAGTTTTCTGACTCTTTATGGTGGCCAATTTATGTTATCTACCCCATTGATAATACTTATTACCTTACATATCAGTCAGTGCCTGAGTATCTTCATATTAAAAACAGAGAATAAATGATAAGAACAATAATGAATATAATTAAATATAAGAGAGAGTTTAATTCAAGTTTTGTTTATAGCTCACTGGTTCTGTAAAGGTGCCCTCTTCTTTACATTCTAACCTCTTATTAGATGTAGAAAGAATTAGATAAAAACAGGTATCTGCTAGTCTTGCTAAAGCATAGGTGAGAAGCTTTAGACCTATTTCAATGACCAGCATCTGGTCTGCTATGGCCTGAGTTTGTGTAGGTTCGTTAGTGTTATTTTGTGACTTCTTTGGTTATGCAGAAGACAGTAGGTATTTTTGTGTTTATTTGTCATGGGTTGCCTGTACTTTAATTTCCACCGTGACAGTATGGTCATATTTACTGTTGTGTCTGTCAACTGAAAAATTATTATGATAAAGTTTTTGTACTGCATGTCCTGTTGGGTTTTTTAGTTTTTCAGTTTTTGCCCCCAAGCTTTTTATAGTCATTTTGTGGTATGGATTGCATGAATTGCATTGAATTTCAAAAGTATTGGACATGTATGTTTGAAGGGGAGAGGAAGAAACAGATAATGCTAATTTTTTCCTCAAGGGAAGATATGGACTCTTGTTGCTATATGCAAAGGTATTGTATGGGTCCCATATGCCTGAGTTGAAAAGACCCAATGAATACCCAAAATCTCAAGTGGATCTAATTTAAAAGGACAAAACACATTATAATGATTAAGTTGTTTACAGGAAATGTGTATGGTCTCTTCACAGCTGCAAGTCCTAACAACAGATGTTTGCCAGGAAACACTAACAACAACAACCTCAACCTAAGTGGCCTTAATGGAACGTTTGAGAGTCCACGAGATCCTTATCACTCCCAATATTATCCGGGAATGAGCTGTGACTGGCTCATTACAGTACCAGAAGGGAACATTGTAAAACTCAGCTTCGAGCTATTCGATATGGAGTCTGTGGGTGCAGGTTTTCCTTTATGGCGTTGCGATGGTGATTATGTAGAGGTACTTGAAGGGAACAGAAGTGACAGTAAGGCCAAAGGAAAGTTGTGTGGTGAGTCAAATCCAGGGATAATCCGCTCGAGAAGTCGGTACATGCTGGTGCGATTCAGATCAGATTCCTCCCACTCCTCGTATCGATATCACAAAGGATTTAAGGCTGATTTCACAGCAGAGAATAAGCTAAGTAAGTCAATAAGTGTACAACTATGGAAATTAAGCCATTGTGGATGAAGGAGGCTAGTTTTTTTGTTTTTGTTTAGTCAACATAAGATATCTCCTCTCTTGAGTAGAGAATTTTTTCTTCAAAGCACTTTATTGTTTTTTCTTAAACGAGGTATATTTCTTGAGGGAAAATTCCTTGCATTTGCCCTATTTTCAGGTTGATGGTAGGGTGGTTTCTCCTCTCTAGAGAGATTTCACCACCTTAGCAGAAGTCATCATCAGAGCCAGGTGAAGTATCGTTGTCCGTTGAGTTTCATGAGTCTGGTTCTTGTGAACTGATTGGTCAATTTTGCCGTGATCTTATTGGTTGTAAGACTCAAATGGCGTTAGGTTGATGTGATTGGTCAGCTTGTGCTGTCGGTAATATTTGGTCGTTCTATTGATTTTATTTGTATTGTAGTCGTTGACATTTGGCGTGGGATTCTGTTCCAAAGGAGTGAACTAGCTTTCCAGAGACTTTCATTTATAGCCGGGGTTACAGCATTGCACTCTGAAACATTAGTCAGTATTATGAACAATGGTCCTTCTCAGGACTTCTCTCACATTGTTACTCTTGGGTGCAAACCATTCGTTGTATTTGTACTTTTTAGTTTGTCCTTACTACGGTGAAGCACTTGCTGCTTCTATATCAGATAAGAAGACACTGACGAGTCCAGGCTATCCTCTCTTGCCTCCTGCCAGTTTGTTGCCATGGAGGTGCAGATGGATACTCAAAGTACCGGATGACCTTTCCACTGGTGGAGCATATGTATTGAAAGTTACTTTTAATCACTTCAATCTCTGAAAAAGGTTTTGATAGACTCACTTTTTTTATGATGGTATCAATTCAGCATCAACGCGTCTTGGAGAATCATATTCCGGAACGGTCCATCCTGATGTGATTTATTCCACAGGCATCCACATGTTTGTTGATTTTTCTGTGGAAGAAAAATGGTATTTGGAAGCAGGCAGTTTTAGTTTAAACTTTTCAGCCGTGGTCAGAGGTAACGTTATTTGGGCATTCTTGGCTTTACTCTGAAACTCAGTTGGCCTAAGGGGCCTAGGGAGGGGGGAGGGGGTGAGGAGATGGGATCGTTTAAGTTCTTGCGTAAGTTTGCGGAGTTTGTCTTTCCGTGGTTTGACTATTGAAGCCTTACAGGTGTTGAAAATGTACTGTAAGGCTTAGGGGGAAAGTCTGATGGCATTATTCACAACACCATGATTAGTGAAAAGAGTCACTTTCTTATGTCTCGCATATTTTGGCGAAGAAGAGAAACGTATTATAGAAGCACTCAGCTCTTTATCAATTTTTTCCCCCCGGGGGGGGGGGGGGGGAGCAGCAAAGACCTAAAAATTAATTATACCGGAATAAGGATGTGTGAGGCTGGTAAATATCGACAAGGATTGCGAATGAATGTCTGAGGTCGAGCTTCAACGTTCTTATTGATGCATTCAATTGCAGAGGAAGCCTTTGGAGTATGCCAATCGTCAGAAGGGAATGCCGAGCGTAGTAACCTCACTGGTTCCTCTGGTACCCTCTTCTCCCCGTTCTATCCTACTCCTTATTCGAAAAATGTCATTTGTATTTGGGTGATTTCCGTTCCTGCTAACAAAAAGAGTGAAGCTAACATTTGATAAATTTGATCTTGCTCCCGGGGAGGACAACGTGCGAATACTTGATGGGCGAGAGTCGTCGAGTGAAGAGGTAGCTGTTTACCACGGATACAACTTATTTAGTAGTGAGTCAGCGGTGTACTCGACTGGGGGGTACATGTGGATAAAGTTTCAATCCACTCTGGACCCTTGGCACCATACTGGATTTAAAGCACATTTTGAGGCTGTGGAACCGCGTAAGTACATTATGATTTTATTTATCAACAGACCAATGATTTTTAAGGCGTAAAGCTTGTTCGTTAGCTTGTTCAATGTTTTTAATTTGTCGTGAAAAAGTAGGAGCAAATTGGGATTTATCGCTGATCCTCGCTTGCCTGGTGCTTAGGTGCGCCTTCCACATCAACTGTGGGGTTAAATAGGTAATTTCAGAGATAGTTATTATTGGAAAATGAAAGAGGAAAAGGCTTGAAGTACCACTGATTATAACATCTCCAAGACTTTTTGTTCCTAAAGACACTTTTGCTCAAACTGCAAATTACGACGGTAAGGTGTTATGGATAGTGACTAAAAAAAATAAGTTTCTTGAAATTTCTAGAATGCCTAGTCACGCTGACATGCATACACGAACTTTCTACTGTCAGACTATGGAATTTTTGAGAACAATATATTAGGTTATGAAGTTATGATGTTAGACTTCTAAAACAGTTGTTTTGTAAGCTTTGGAAATATCCTAGAATACTTTGTAAATGTATCTATGGACTCAGTCGTTTAATATGAGTAGTTGTTCTTGTTGGGAGTGCCCGACTGTCTGGAAAGCTATACTGAGAGAGATAGAAGGAGAGAGAGATACTGTGGAAGATTGTTCATTTAAAGAAGATTTGGAGGCAGCCGTGAGTGTGTGTCAGTGGTAAACTAAGATATAGTCCATAATGGGCTCAAGTAAGTTTTTTAGAAGATAACTGTTGTAATACCCACAGGTGTCCCTTCTTAGTGAGATCCATTACACGTTGTTTAATAAAGTAGCTGAGTTTGTAGGAGTATATAATCTCTCTTTCGGTTAAATTATACCGTAGGAAAAAAACATTTAAGTTTGGTTGTCTCGAAGTTTTCCTGTGTGACTGAATTTAGTCCATGGCCCTGGACCAAGACTGTTTCCAGAGTATCTTTGTATTCCTCTTTTCACTTTGAATTTATCAAATATGTGGTGAATAACTTGAATCACTGACGACGATGTACCACTTCATCAAAAAATGATACTTCGTTATCACCTTTGGTATCACCAGTCGGGCCGTAGTATTCATATAAGTATTTTAAAGCTCAAAAGGGTTTAAACTCTGTAGAGAGCCTGCCAAACACTTCCCTGAAAAATGGTAGGTTAATTTGTGTGATGCATCTTTCTTCCCAGCCGGAAGTTCCGAGGAAAGATGTTTTCCGGGCAACATTTACAACAACAACCTGAAATTATCTGGTTACAGTGGAACTCTTCAAAGCCCAGAGGGAGGGGAAGGGTATCTCTCTCACTCCAGCTGTAATTGGCTCATAGCTGTACCAGAAGGGTGCTTTGTGAAACTCAGCTTCGACACTTTTCAAATGGTTCAAGATAGCATCTCAGGAGGATGTGATGCAGATTATGTAGAAGTTGTCGATGGGAAGTACATCGATGGTGAGAGCGAAGGAAAAATGTGCGGTTCCGGTACCCCCAATAACACCTCCTCTACCAGTCGTTACATGATGGTTCTTTTCAGGTCTGGTCCAATCAGATCATCTTTCAGGGGATTCAAAGCAACATTTACAGCGCTTCATGAACCAACAAGTAAGTGAAAGCATTCCTATTTCTTCGTTTTCGGGGAAGTCGGTGTCTCCCCTTAAACACCTTGCCGCTCATTCGTAACATCCCTCATTTCCAATCAGTCAAAGAAATTTTGTCTCAAAACATTTTGAAATTAGGTGGTAGAAAAGGCAAGTTCAAGGCAAGCGTGAAAAGCGTTCTTCATCACGACTGATTTGACAGGGTGTTGTTTGACAATACCTTAGAGGTTATCAGCACAAGTGAAACAGAGTAAATAAAACGAAATTCTTATGTACTACCCCATCAAAATAAAGTATTTTGAATTTGGTTGTGATTTTTTATGATATGTAATTTCTGAATGATGACGCAAGAATCAGGTAGAGTGGTCGATAACTGACACAATTTCAACTGGTTTTGAACTTGTGATGATCCACACGTAAGGCATTCACGACTTGTTAAAGTATGTTCTAAAAATGGTATCTCATTATGCCAAGCATGGCTTTCCGATGTCTTTTAGCCGCCATCTTGCCATAAAAAGTTACCTTTTTCACGTCAGATTTTGATAGACTCGGTGGAACAGCCCCACCTGAATCTCTCCGAAGCCAATTCCCCTTCCCCTTCCCCCGTGGGATCACTTCAAGGAATTTACTTAAGATTGTTTTCTGACTCCTTAGCGAAAACTAAAGCTGTAAATTCCAGCGAGTTATGTTACCCGGATAACGTCCACAACTTTGATTTGAGGTTGACCGGATCAGAAGGGATTCTAGAGAGTCCGTTGACCTACTACCCACCGGGTTTATTTTGTGAATGGCTCATCACTGTACCCGAGGGACAAAGCGTTGAACTCATCTTCGAGAGATTTCAGTTGGGTCCTGATTGCAGAGATTATGTGGAAGTTGGAGATGGAATGCCATTGTCTGGCACATCTTTGGGAACATACTGTGGAACTACAATTCCCGAAAACGTTCGTTCAAGTCACCGTAATCGTTATATGTGGGTTGAGTTCTACTCTGCCACAGATTATGCGGGTAGACACAGAGGATTCAAAGCCACCTTCAAGGCCGTATCAAGTTCAGGTTGTCTACCTTTGTTTTAAAAATTAGAGGTTGAATCTGTTGTAGCACGTGTCATGCACCGTCAACACGACTATCTTTTCAACGCCACGTGGAAACGACCCTTGCTTCAGATAACTCTGCTTGTTTGACTTTTGTTTCTCTTTTTCTCTTTAGAGTCTCGTGCTTGGATGACAGCCATTATTGTAACTGTCATAGTGTTTGTTGCACTGATATTCCTTTCCGTTTGCTTGGCTGAACGAATTAAAAGGCGAAACAGAGAGGCAGCGGAGAGGTTTCCAATGGCTATAGTATCACGCCGTACTCCGTCTGAACCTGTTTCAACAAACGCAGATATACCACCCCCTGATTACCCATACCCGTTAGAATCGCCACCACCCTACCCTGGTAAGGAACAGATTCCACAGTTTCCACCTCCAGGACAGTCGTATCCATGGCAACAAAGTACACCGGCTGAAGAATCCGTTACCCATGAGAATTCGTGACGTTCCTATGAAGGTAAAGAGAAGAAGTAAAGAGAAACACAAGGGGCCGGTTATGGTCAGACCCAAACCGCTGTTTTACGCAATCAGAGGGCCTTTCGTAATCTCTGTGGGAGGGCTGTTTTTATTAAATAAATGCCCTTCATTGCTAGCTTTCGGCCCTCTTGACACTGTTCACAAACCAAATGTTCAGATAAAAGATTCAACTTAATTCAAGATAGTTTAGAACGCGGTTTTGTTAAACCTTGGCTAAACTTTGTTGAAACTGAATAACCGGCCCGAAGAGTTGTAATCACCAGCTTCCTTCACTGTTTCCGATGCAAATATTCGGGTATAGCGAGTTCCTTAGTTGAGAAAGACATATTCTTAAACATGATAAAAACTAGCGATGAAAAGGAAAGACGTTTCGACCTCTCCGATTTCCTTTATCAGGGTCTATTAAGTTATGTTTACGAAAAATTGTCGTGTAAATATAATGGTATTAAAAACAGATGAGAATGCAACAGGCATTAAGGTGTGTTAAAATTGCATAATTACAACTAATCAAAATATTTATCAGGTACAAGAATTGTGAAATATAATTTTGCGGTGCTTGAGCCACACTGTTTGTTTAGCGGTGGTTAAAAAGCATGGCTAAACTGCTGAATACCCTGCCACTCATTTACATGTCATTGAATAAGGATAGCATCCATTGTGTTATGCCTCGTTCTTGAAGCCTCGCGACACATGTAAATGAGGTGGACCAAAGTGGCAGGGTACTCTGCAGTTACTCCAAAAGCATTTCAAAAATAAGACAGACAAGGTTGTTCTCGCTCTTTCTTAAAATGTTCAAACTTCGCTTGATGTTCCCCGGCTCCATGCCATGTCGTTTTCTGAGCTGGTCTTCAATCACCGACCCTTTGTGTTCCTGAATAATTTGGCATGAGTATTTGACAAAGCCAGCATCATATGCATCACACAGGTCACATCTACCTGTTGCTGACTCACAAGGGGTGGCAGCGGAAAATTTTCCCTAAAATGGAAAAGTACGCAAATGAGTGAAACTTTGAATGCACGGTTGGGCATTGCTTTCAACAGCGCCCGTTAAAATATTCACGATAAGCTAATAACGGTACGGTGCCCGTCGGCAACTGTTTCTGAATATTTCCAGACCTTTTCTCGGTTGCGCTATTCGGAAAAACTTGTGCAATCAACCATCCATCATTTTATTGATGTAAAGATATCAGATGCATCTCGTGCTCAAGCGACTGAGAAGTAAGAAGTTCCCAGAATTGTGTTTTCCCTACAAGGAACACTGAGAAGTCGGCCAACTCGGAAAGAAGACGACTTGTTGATCTCAATTGCAAGATGCACACTGAAATCAGTCCTGTTAAGACAAGTCGAAACTGAGATAAAGAACGAGATCAGATTGAAGGAAGAGGAACCGCTCTTTGTGTGTCAGCAATCTGTTGTTTATTTTTCTTTTTTCATGCGTGATCTGTATGATGCACTTTATTTTCGGATACACATGACAGTACTTAAATCAACGCATTGAGGACACAAACGGGATCGGCGATCGGAGACCATCTCATAAAGGAGCATGTTATGGAACCGGACGACTGACATCGCACGGAGTTTGAACATCCTAGGAAATTTCCAAAACAAACTTCAGTGTCTTATTTTTGAAATGCCTTTTGCCAAAGAAATGAAACCACTGCTAAACAAACAATGTGACTTAATCCGTGCGAAGTTATCATTTTAGACTGTTCTTTAAACTTAAAGAGCCGGTTACTGAATGACACTAGTTCTAAGCCAAACAGCGGTTTTACGTGAGCAGTGGGCCTTAAGAAAGTGCCTCTGTAAGAGCGGTCCGGTCGATTTTGCTTGTAACACGGATTTCGCTCATTTCTTGTGTGTTGTAAGACATTCATGTACCTATACTAAAACCACAATCCGTTTGATCGGATCTCTTTGTTTTTCAGAGTTTTACAGAAATTAAATTTCACTCGAGCGAAGGCTTGTCGTGACACTTTTCAAGACTTTAACTATGGGTTTTTCACTGGGTTTTCATACAACTTTGGAGGACAATTTACAAAAAACTACGGAGCTCATCAAAAAACAAATATCCCAGCCATGTATATTAACTCTATCTTATCTATCGAGGCGACTTTCGTAAACATCACGTTTCAATCAAGGAAACAGGAAGACTTGAATGACACCTTATCGGTTCGCCTGAGTC